GCTGTGTTATCTGTAACACAGCAGTAGCATTTAACAACTAAGTTTACCCTGTAGCAATAAAATAGTAACTGTTTAGTAAGCTTTAACCTGACTCCTTCAGTTGCTGTAACAGAACCAAGCACAATTTAAAAGAACTTCAGCTGGTCATAAGGGACAAGTATAGGAAGAGCTTGGGCATTTTGGATTGTGTCACTCCCAGGTGACAGATCCATTGGGGCATCTCTCAGCCTCCCCAGGCTGCCCGCTGCGAAGGGATTTCTGTATCCTAGCAGCTAAAATCTGAGGTGTTATAAGCTCTCCCTGTAAACTTATTGGGGCGCCCATCAACCTCCTCCAGGTTGCCCGCTGCAAGGGACCCCCAGTCTCAGCAGTTGAAGTCTCGGGTGTATAGCGCACACACACACACACCACTCACTGCCCTGACCGTCGGTTGGCAGAATTGGGGCGCCCGTCAACCTCCTCCAGGTTGCCCGCTGCAAGGGACCCCGGTCTCAGCAGTTGAAGTCTCGGGTGTATAACACACACACACACACACACACACACCACTCACTGCCCTGACCGTCGGCTGACACTGTCCCAGCCAAAATGAGATATATGGTAACCTTATAAAACAGAAACTCTCAGACATTACTTACCTGATTTCTAAGTGCTGTGGCCACTGGAGAAGCTGTCATCTAATCTGCAGGATTAGAGTAAGATGCAAAGTAAGCATCTTGATTTGCCCTTGGTTTTAAGAGCCATGGAAGCTGAAGTTGGGTCAGGCAGAGGTTGACTGGATCTTTTAGGTGAAGGATCTAAGTAGATTTCAGGCTGATGCAGCCATTTTGCACCTGAAGTGAGATTTTGTAGGAAAGTAGTTGGGGCAGAGTGTTGCAATTTCACTTTGCTGAGGTTTTTTGCAAATATTTTGGTTCAAATCCCCCCTGCTTTGCCTGGATTCTTTCTGCACTAAGGAAATGAGGTGTATTTTGAAAATGTTACCTAACATAGGTTAAGGAACATGCTTTGATCTAAGTGCTGAGTAAATATGTGTTTGGAAAAGGTGTTAGGCAGTCACAGTCAACCCAAGGTTTTGATATACGTATTTCCTATTCTTGGTCAGATAGGATCTTTTACTTTGAGTTTCAGTGTCATGCACATAAAACCTATAAAACAAAACTTGGCCAAAGCCACTGTGTTTGTCCTGGGTTGGAAACTCATGAATTGGGCCCGGTTGGTTTGATACATTGACTGAAACAAACTTGAACTCTGTTTCAAGCTTGACGGAAAATGCAAATCCAGGTGAATTTCCTATGCTTCTGTGCTTTGACTGGGAAAGATTTGCAGATCTGTAAAAATTCTGCCACTTCTGTCCAAAGTCAAGAAGAGATATAGGTCCTGACTTCTCCTCAGGAATTGAGCTGGTCGTGTTAATAGTTTTTCCAGAAGCAACAGTTCTTCTCTCATTTTCTAATGGAGTTTTTATTCTAAGCAAGACCGTGTTTTATTAGCTCCAATTAGATACAATTCAGAGTTTACCCACACTGTTACCATTTGCTTCTGATGCAGACAGCACCTACTCTCACTGCTGCTGTTGTCCACACAGCAGTTTCTTCACAGCATTATAAATGTTCCATTTGCTTCTATTTGTTGGAGTGGGATCACATTAACTCTTTAGGTGCCTCTCCACAAACAGTGTCTCTCCAGGTAGCCAGAAATGTAGAGCTTGTGTGGTAACAGAATGAATTAAACACATTCTATTCAGGTTTGTGGTGCTTTAATGGCATTGAGATGGGTTCTGCACCATGCAGCCAAGTGATAGTCTTTGTTACTGGAACAAGCAACTCATGTGCAAGTGGCATGCTCCCATATATACATGGCATTGGGGTGGATAGTGTCTGTGGCTCATGATGGGAGACAAGTAGTATGACATTGAGGTAGATGATTCTGTGCTGCAAGAGGTAGTGGATTGCATGGTGCAATAAAGCAAACTATGCATGCCATTGAAATGCAATGGACATTCAGTGTAGTGGTATTTGCCTGGCATCAGAATACACCGTACACATCCACATAATGGCAACACAGATTTTTGTCTTGTGAAGCCCCAGAGTTTGGGGATAACATTAGAGTTAGAACTTCCCATGGTTACTTTGCATCTTATGGGTTTGTAGCAGATTGTCCCGTAGGCCTACTATCTGCAACGAAGGCTTTGATCACGGGTGGTGATTATTGCTGCTGATTCTGTTTCTGAAATTTGTTCAAGCAAATGCTGTTTTAGAATAGCTATTATTCTTTTTTTCCCTGTCTCCTATTCTAATCTTCTCCCTGCTTCCCACACTGGAGCTTTCTCATAAAATATAGTCTTGCTTTTCCTGCATATGTGTTGATGAATTCTGAATGTACAGCGTGGACCTGCCTACACACCTGCGTCCTTCTCTACAATCTAATCTTTTTCACTTTGGCATAGACCTAAAGGCACTTCTGCAGCCATCTACTGCAGGTCTGCTGCTATGGGATAAGAAGTGGTGGCCTTATTTGCATAATCATATATGCAAATTAGACAGTTTCCACTTTTTGTTGGTTTCATTGAAAAAGTTGGCTTTCTCTTCCAGCTGAACTATTGTAAAAAGGCACAGGCTCTTAAAAATGCTACCAAACATGCCAATGGGCATAAATGGATTGCACAAAGACACTTGGTAATCCATCCCATGAAAATCTGCCATTACCCTCTGGGCTTGCATCTTCTGTTCTCACTAAGTTTGGCTTGCCTCCTTATTCAGGAAATGAAAGAAACTCCATTTTACAGGGACAAAGGGAATTAATTTCTTCATCTGGTGGAACATTCAAAAGATGTTAAGGACAGCAATAGCAAAACATGTGCGGAAAGCCGGATGAGTGGTGGTGAAGGTGTGCTGGGAGGCTACTTCACTGAGGGCCAAGGCAAAGGGCTGCAGAGAGTCAGCCAGCCAGCCTTACAGTATCAACACTTCAAATGAAAGTTCCAAGAATATGTGTTTGCAATGGTTACATTTCTCTTTTGATGAGTTGTGTGTCAGTGCCCTACTGCCAAGATGAGGACAGCTCAACAAGAGCTCAACAGGGAGATCACATGAAGAAGGTGCAATGTATATTTCTAGACCTGAATGAGACATTCTGTGGTCATATTAGTTCTATGTTCCATCAAGAGAGGTGTGACAGTGACTGGTCACAGCGACTGCCAAGGAAAACCCAATCAGGAAGCTGGCCAACTGTGTAATTCTTTGTCATGGGTGCAGCTGTATAGAAGTATGTCTTCCTGACCTAGTCTGATAAAGGTTGTTCCCTGCCATATAGAGATGGCCACTTTTTAAACTGGCTGATATAACTTTTTGTGATACCTTAAATCGTCAAATCAAGATAGAGCCAGATAGCACATGTAGTGAGTATAGAGGTAAATTGGAATGGTTAATTAAACATTGAATAAAAATAATTTCCTCTTACCTGCTTTAAATGTGTTGCCTTTCTAATGTTTCTGTTTTCTGTGCATAAGCATACTTCTTGCAATGCTGTTCTGTTTGAAGAACAAACCTTTTGAGCAAGAATCTGATGGAAATGGCATAATTAAGGGTAGTGCTTGCCCATGGCAGTTGGTTGACAACCTTGTGATGGGGAAAAACTTGTCTGGGTGCTCCACCTAAATGCCATTAAGCAGGGGAAATGACAGACAGGGCCTGATTGTCTGTTACGGATTCTTGTCACAAATACTACTTAGAGCTATTTGGGACTCTGTCGTCAGCTGCGCCTGCAATCAAGCTCTTCTCAGTGCTTCAGGGAGAAAATCTGGCTTTAAACTCTCTTAGCAACTCCCTACTCCTGAGGCTGGATGGGTGTCAATTAGGCTCAGTGTGCAATTTAGCGCAACCTATGTTGGGCTGTGCCTGAGGTTGTAAGAAAGGGTGGTGTAATGCCAGCTCTGTTGGCTTTGTGCCAGTCAAGAGTTTCCCAACATTGACAGAATCCTCAATCAGCCAGGTAAGTTGGCACTACAGTCCCTTCCCACTACTGAAGCTGTGCAAAAGTACAATACTGGGTCCAGGATTTGGCCTTTTATGAACATATAAGATGTTCCAGTTTAATTCTAATTTCTTTTCTCCCACCCAAGATATTTCTGAGGCCTCTTTCACTTAATCTTTACTGCACTGGGGGTGGGAGTGTCTACAACAAAGAGACATCTTAGGAAAGCAAAGACCTGAAACACTTCATCTCTTCTGAGAAACCACTAGCACCAAGCAGGAGATGACAACCCCAACTAATCCTAAATAGAAGGAAACACTGAAAAATGGCTAGAAGTGGAGATGTCTGGTATTTTGCTACACAGTGGTGTCCACGTAGTGAAAGCCTGGGGACCTACTGCCTATTAATGAAGCTGGAGAGAAGCTGGGTGCAGTAAATTGAGGTCACAGGATTTCAGGAAATACATATTTGTTAATAATTCATCACTATGTTGCAGCCTTACATATTCCCTAAATGCATTTGAAATTTTTTTCTGCCAGATAACACTGCCATCACTGTCTTTAGAGTGTTAGCACGAGATAAATCAGTTTCTGGTGCCCTAAAGGGGCCTCCCTACTGAAGTATGGTGTTTTATTGTGCCATGTTACAGCAGTTATACACTATGTGCTGCAGTGTAACAGGATGCCAATGCCCCACTTATATTTTAGCGTATAATTAAAAAAAATGTGATCTCAGTTCTGATCCTAATAATGGATAAATGCAGTAGCTGCTGCCACATTATGCTTTGGCAGACTCAGCAAAGGCAGAATGAAGCATGGAGAATTTCTCCATTTGCCTTGATATGGGGGATGGTGTCTTTAACTGGCATGGGCAGCGTGAAGAAATGAGCTACTCTGATAAGTCTACTCTGTGGATAAATGTATGACTTCATCCCATAGGGCTAAGAATGCAACTGCTTTTATAAGCACTTGTCTGTACTTTTGCAGTTCACTTGCATGATTAATACAGAAGTCTCTCCCATCTCTGAAATTCTCTAGAACTGCAATTTTCCACAGCTTGTAGCATGTCTCCATATATTGGTTATAGCTGGAACAAAGAATGGAACAGAGAAAAGGTGAATCATGAACTCTGTACTGGTGCAGGACCTTGCAATGGCAAGAATATGTATTTATGGGGAGGCAGATGTATACCACATTTGTCCTGTATTTCTGGCAGAGGGAAAGCGAGAAATATTTGTGACCCAAATCATTGGTTTTCCTGCCATTGGTATAAAAATTTCCAGATGTGATTGTTGATGTTTCACATGGGACCAATTTAAAAAAAATAAGAAATAGAGTCAACTGCATGCATGTAAATACTTTTTGGTTTATGTGTGTTTTGCAATGTCTTGCATTTAAAATGAGGAAGCAAGTTAGCTCAAAGCAGAACTCTTGTTCTCTCCTCTCAAGGTCTGTCCTTTGCCCACATTGTCCTACTCTTTGAATCCATCATCCTTCCTGACCAAAATCAAGAGCTTAATCTTCTGAGCTGCCTTCTTCCCTCATATCATCTTGATACATCTCCAAAAATCCAGCCTTTCCTCTCTGGATAGCCAAATGGGTATTCTTTCCTGCCTTGATCATAGCAGCGCTTTCGTGCTCACTGGTCTGCCAGATGCTAATCTCATTCCCCTCTAGGTCATCCCAAATGTCAGTTCCAAAGTCACCTTCTCCATCCATTCTTTCAACTGTGGAACTACACTGCTTCCTTGTTACACTGTGCATAGAGGTTCAATTCCTTCCATTCAAGGTCCTGCCATGAAATCCTTGCTAGTGACTTTTCATCTTACCCCCATCCTTGCAACTCCTGAAAAAATGCCAACCTTAATATCCCTTTCACTCTTTCTCTAACAAGTTTCCGTGAAGCTGTATTCCCCAATTCACTTCGCTGCCATATTTATAGACTGCCTAGAATGTCTCTTGTGCTGCAAAGCCAGAAAGAAAGGAAGTAGAGAAGAGCCACAAACTCTGGTGCCTCTCATTAGCCCTGCAAAATGTAACAGATGGAAGGGAAGGCTCAGAATCAAGGGGGTTTGCAAAGATTGGGCTTTGACCCACTTAGGCCAGTTCTTTTAAAGTCATCAGCTACTAAATGTAAATTCCTTCTGTGTCTGTATCACTTTCTCATCAGCTTCGGAACCCATTCTGCATATCCCCTCCCCATGCTGGCTGGAATAACCACATCAGAGCCAGAAGACAGCCCTCCTATCACTCTTAACAGTAATATTTGTATGGAGAAGCAAGGAGTTAGGATCCTGCAGAAGAGAATTTTGCCAGCAGCACAATTTATTGGGGAAAAATTTTAGAACCAGGAGTGCTGCTAGCGAGGCTTTTCCTGTGGGATTTCAAGCTTGATATAGCAAACTAAGGAGGTACGAGTAAAAATAAACATCCAAAGCTTTTTCTTATCTGAACCTTTTTGAAGTTCCTCCACAGTGTGGGAGGGAGCGGGACTAGGGGTAGGGTTGGATATGCATACATATGGATATGTTGCTAGTGCTGTTTAGTAGTAAACTTCCAGCTAGGATTAAACATGTTTTCAAGCAAATGTTTGTGTCTTCACTGGCACTTACAGTCATGTTAGATTACATGTTAAAAAACAGCTAAAAATTAAAATGTATACATATCCCCTGTGAATACATTTTAGAATCATAGATCTATGGAGTTGGAAGACACCTCAGAAAGTCTTCAAGTCCAGCCCCCTGCCATAGGCAGGACCAATCCCAACTAAATCAACTCGGCCAGGGCTTTATCAAGCCAAGACTTAAAAATCTCTAGGGATGGAGACTCCACTACTTCCCTTGGTAACCCATTCCAGTGCTTCACCACCCTGCTAGTGAAACAGTTTTTCCAAATATCCAACCTGGACCTCTCCCACCACAACTTGAGACCATCGCTCCTTGTTCTGCCGTCTGTCACTACTGAGAACAGCCTCTCTCCATCCTCTTTGGAACCTCCCTTCAGGAAGTTGAAGGCTGCTATCAAATCCCCCCTCACTCTTCACTTTTGAAGACTAAACAGACCCAACTCCCTCAGCCTCTCCTTATAGGTCATATGTTCCAGCCCCCTAATCATTTTGGTTGCCCTCCGCTGGACCTTCTCCAATGCGTCCACATCCTTCTTGTAGTGGGGGGCCCAGAACTGGACACAATACTCCAGATGTGGCCTCACAAGAGCCGAATAAAGGGGAATAATCACATCTCTGGATCTGCTGTCAATACTTCTTCTAATGCAACCTAATATGCCATTAGTCTTCTTGGCTACAAGGGCACACTGTTGACTCATATCCAGCTTCTCATCCACTGTAATCCCCAGGTCCTTTTCTGCAGAACTACTACTTAGCTGATTGGTCACCGGCCTGTAACAGTGCTTGGGATTCTTCCGTCCCAAGTGCAGGACTCTGCACTTGTCCTTCTTGAACCTCATCAGATTTCTTGTGGCCCAATACTCCAGTTTTTCGAAGTCACTCTGGACCGTATCTCTGCCCTCAAGTGTATCTACCTCTCCCCCAGCTTAGTGTCATCTGCAAACTTGATGAGGATGCAATCCATCCCCTCATTCTGGTCACTAATAAAAATATTGAACAAAACCTTTGGGCACTCTGCTAGAAACTGACTGCCATCCTGACATTGACCCGCTGGGTCTGACCTTCTAGCCGTCTTTCTATCCATCTTACCGTCCATTTATCCAATCCACATTCCCTTAACTTGCTGGCAAGAATATTGTGGAGACCATATCAAAAGCCTTGCTAAAGTCAATATATATCACATCCACTGACTTTCCCATGTCTACAGAGCCAGTTACCTCATCATAGAAGCTAATCAGATTGAACAGGCATGACTTGCCCTTAGTGAATCCATGCTGACTATTCTTGATCACTTTCCCCTCTTCCAAGTACCTCAAAATGGATTCCTTAAGGATCCCTTCCATGATTTTTCCAGGGACTGAGGTAAGACTGATTGGCCTATAATTCCCTGGATTGTCCTTCTTCCCTTTTTTGAAGATGGGCACTACATTTGCCTTTTTCCAATCATCCGGGATCTCTCCCGATCTCCACACCTTTTCAATATAATGGCCAAGGGCTCCTCAATGACATTTGCCAACTCCTTCAGTACCCTCAGATGCATTAAGTCCAGACCCATAGATTTGTGTACATTTAGCTTTTCTAAATAGTTCCTTAGCATGTGCTACAGTATTATAAAATGCAGCCCCTTGTAATATGGTGTATAGAAATGATTTAATATGCAACAGTATGCTGGATAAATGTCTTCAGAACTCAGGACTTGTCTCCACTTATCGGGAGATTGGCACTGCAGAGCTATATCTGCCAGGGTTCAGTTTAGTGGGTTTAGTAAGGATCTGCTAATTCAACCACTAACCATGCCCCTGTTGACTCTGATACTCCACTGAGTCACAAGGAGTAAGGGAGGTCCTCAGGGGAAACTCATTGAAGAAATTCAACCTAAGGTACATCGACTCCAGCTACACTATTCACATTGCTGCTTATCTTAGGTGGACTTTCTCCCCTAATATAGC